ATGTTCAGCCGGCTGTCAACCAACACCCCCAGGTCCTTTTCTGCCAGGCAGCTCTCCAGCCACTCCTCCCCCAGCCTGTAGCGTTGCATGGGGTTGTTGTGACCCAAGTGCAGGACCCGGCACTGAGCCTTGTTGAACCTCATGCAGTTGGCCCCAGCCCATCGGTCCAGCCTGTCCAGGCCCCTCTGAAGGGCCTTCCTACCCTCCAGCAGATCGACACTTCCACCCAACTTGGTGTCATCTGCATTTCTGTTTACCCAACTGGTACATCTTCTGCTAGAGTCTCTGATCTGACCATCTGTTCCTGATGGTTCATTTTTTTTTTTCCTTGAGTGGGTCAGCCAGGCCTGCTGGCCTTACATCATATTAATTAGTCATTGCCACTCTGCTAACAGGTTGTCACCTGACACTACGGGTACATGTTCTTGTGGGGATCCTGGGCAGAATGATGATGGCACTAAGTTGTAGGTACAATTAAAGTTTTATTTTTTTTTAACAGAATTTTATTATCAGCATAGCGTAGTATTCTATGATCAGAGTAGCACAGGTTTTTTATAACCTGAATCAGTGTAGCACAATTTTATAAGTAGCATAGCAGAGAATTTATAGCGCAGCTTAGTTTATGGTTCCTAATCACCTGGACCCTGTGCAGATCGGATCAAATGTTAATATTTGGCTTGCAGTATCAATAGTATAATAGTCGTAATCTAGACTAGAAACATGTAAAAGAATGAGTCACTCAGTCCTTGTTGGAGGCACCCCTGGCCACCGGAGAGGCTCGTGGGTCTCGCTGTCCAGCAGCAGTTCTGGTGCAAGTTCCCCTTAGGACTTGTAACTGCTTGATTTTATAGACAGCGCTCTGTGTGCCGTTACGCTTCCCTGTTCTGTGATGGGGCCATCACCACCACCAGGCTGGCCGGGTGCCTGGGACCTTCAAGGCCAGTAAGGAGGGGAGTAGTCAGCCTGGCTCCCAGGAGTCTTGAGGCTGACAGAGAAGGGAAGAAAAAATCCATTCTGTTTCTCTGCTTGGTGCACAGGGCCTTCAGGGCTTGTTAATGAGCGGGAAGAAGGCTAATATGTGACCAGCTCAGTCACAGAGAATGGCCATTTGCCTTATAAAATGGCGTTAGTCATGCTAACCCTTATTGCAGAATATAATCACCGCGTGTTCATATGTGCACATCAGTATACTTTTACTTTCGGAGTGCTGAGTTGGGAATTTCTGAATGTCTGTGATTCAGTTCCTACGTAAGATGTGTTCCTTCTAGGAGTAGATTTGGATTCTTACTAAAGATGAGATTTAGATGCCTAAAATCCCAGACAATATTCCAGTTCCCTTGCTATGCATGATGCCTAGCCCTGCATATGCTTCCTGTTGTCATGATGCAGAGCTTCCTTTCTGTTGAAAAGCCTGGAAATTTGGATGTATTGAGGTCTGTTTTGCAGAAGACTTGCCACCTCTGCTCCGCGGGTGAGCTGCTGTGGAGGAATCTGTTGTGATGAAGAAAAAGCAAGAGGGAGCTTAATACTTAGCAAAAACCAAGGCAGACTTGGAGTTCTGATCCCACCTTCTAGGACCGTGTTGTGTTTTCCTGGAAGTCAGACCTGGGTGCTTTCTCCTGCAGATGGAAGTTTTCTCCTTTTAGCTTTTGATTTCCATCTTCACTGTTGCAGTGGTCGTCTTTGAAGGGGTGATAATGGAGAGTAGTTTAAAGTATTCTTGCTCTGTGTATCTGTTGAATAGTTGTTACATCTTTTTTTTTTTTTTTCTGGAGTGGAGGTGTGAATTCAGTCACCCCAGGGTAAATAGTACTGCAACTCATCTGTCTTAAACTCTTGGGACCTACTTAATACTTAGACTAGTCTAACTCCTCTGTGCTTGAGGCTGCTCTCTGAGACCCGCTGCCATCGTGCAGCTCTCCGCTCATGCTGTTAAACCCCATCTTTCAATACGGGTTGCCATCTTCACAATGCTTATTAGGAATGGCCTCTGAATGGCCCAGAAATTGTAGGGAAGAATAATAATTGGCTTGGGTGAGAAGTGAGCCAGGATCTCTTCTAATGCAAAAGTACAGAGGATGGGAGTTCAGTGTTTTGTACCCTGGTATTGCCTGACTTGCCCAGTGCAGATCCAGTGCGTAGCTTCAGGGCTTGAACACGCTTCTTGTTACTGCGCTGTGTGCTTTTCTGATGAGCGCTGGCCAGGGGAAGGTCTCCGTTTTCTTCTGTCTGTGTTTTAGTCGCTCATGCAGTTAGATGGAAGTGTCCCATCGGATACTCCGGAGAAATGTGCCAAGGTGGTGGGCTTTGCAAGTGCTTTTTGAGCGGTGACTGCAAAGACAGCCTGCTGTGTCTGGGAGGGTCAATTACCTTGCGGTTAACAGTTACTGTAAAATTAACCTATTCTGAGTTAAGGGACAAAACAGTCATGTTCTTACATCAGACTCAAAAATGACAAGAATTATAAGGATTTATAGTGATAGGGGCAACAGAAGAAAACCTTCAGTACCTAATGTACTGAGATGGACTACAAAAAACTACAACTACTCCTATGAACCATGGCTGCCAAGCTCCCGTATGTTATGAGGGACTGCGTGTAGCCTTATCCTGAGCAGATGTAGTAAATTTTTTTACTTCTGTCTTGGATTCTCTGAAGGTGTGCTTAGGATTGGACGCCACTTGTTCTTGCTCCCTATTTCTTGTAGGGCAATTGTCTTAAATAGGCTTTCCTTCTTTCACGCTTCGAGATTTGACTGCTAGCTCTTCCGTGAAAAGCATAAAGCATAGTTGTCTTCTGTACCGGGGCCTTAGCAAATTGTTAACCTGTTAGAAGGGTAAAATGCTCTTCCCTACCTTGGGAGGTCATATATACACATATGAGGGTACAGTTCATATGCACAGGTAAAATTAATAATCCTACTTGATAAGATTATTTACTACACGCAGCTTATTAGCGGCCAACTGACAGTAAATTTGGAGAGGGTGAATCCTGGGTTGCGAGTACTTAAACTGGTTGGACATAATATGTTTGTTTTTTTTTTAAACATAAAACTTTTAATATTGTGTTTTAGCCCACCTCTAGCCAGCAAGTATGCATATTCTCTGTTTCTTCATTACTGCAGCTGCTCTCCAATGTTCTTCTTTGGGACGGGATTGTACGAGAAGATACGGTCCGTGATTTGGGACTGAGCAAGCTGCTGAATCGTTACCTTCTTCTGAACCTCTTAAACACGCCACCAGGGCCGGATAATATAGAAAAGTGTAGTAAGGTAAAAGATAACATGTACAATGGAAGGGGGTGTATGCTTTTTTTCATGAAGAGGGGTCTAGACTGAAGTTGACTATTTAAAATTTTTAAAATTTAAATAACATTTTAAAAAATTTCCAAAACTTTAAAATTTTTTTTAATGACCTTGGTGCATAAAAGCGTTTTAGAGCGAACATTGGTCCAGAGGTTCTTAAGAATGACTGCTCGTAGGGAGAATCAATCTTGGTTTCAAAGGAAGAACGCACTACTAATAATGACTGAACCTGCCAAAAAGAAAAGTCCCTGTCAGAAGTGATGTGACTTGGTTATATTGAAAAACTTTTCTCTTCAAACCTTTCCAAATATTTTTTGTGTGAGCAGGTGGTCGCGTGCCTCCCAGAAAGATGGTTCCAGGATCTTAAAAGTGGATCAACTCTCCCTGAGTTACGGAACTTCTGCCAGCACTTGCTGCAGTGTGCCTGTACGCTACACAAGAATAACCACAGGTAGTAGATCAGGCTTTCCTTGGGATTCAAGCACTTCCTCGTACACTTTGTGTTAAATGTTCCTGAAGTCTCACATATTTGACACTTTCAAGGACGTTCTCGTCACATAGATAGATAAAACAAATGATGGAGTCCGTAACATAAAGGAGCGCTTCTGCAGCTGTAGTTTAATGTGATCGTTTGAGGCGCCAGATGTTGGGCGCTGTTAGTGATCAGTGGAGCCAAGGTCAGCTGATGACGAGGGGCCAAGGGGAGACACCTGACTCTTTTTAAAAATTAATAAAGTGTCCTTCGAAGTCAGGTACATAAAAGTGCTGCTATATAAAATTTTTCTTTTTTTTTTTTTATAGTGATGAAACAAAAGAAGTTCTTCTCCTGCTGGTGAAAGTCAAAGCTCTGCATGTTGTTGAAGATTTCATTGAAGAGTACAAACTTGAACACCTTAAATCCATGATTGGGAAATAGGAAAATTTTGAACATTTATATTACTGAAACAAGCCTGGTATTAACACTAAACCAGTTCCAACATGAAATTTAATTCATGGACCCTCCCTACTCAAAGATTAGTGGTAATCACTGTCTCATTGTTAAATACTTGAGGATTTTTTTTTTTTCCTGAATGTCGTCTTCTGCCATCTACTCCTAGCTTAAGGAGTCTTTTTAGTAGTTACAGTTGTCAAAGTCAAGCCATGGTTCAGGCATTCTAAAACGTGCCGGTGCTTTATTGCTTTATCCTTTTCGGAAGGAGACGGTGAGTGCCTGTAGGGTTTATTGCTGCTAGTAAGTGGCCAGCTTTACCAGCTATTTTCAGTATTACGCTGCTAAGTATTGCTCTCTGGCTCAGCAGTCATGGAGCTCTTCTAACTTGTGGTCCGCAGCGACGTTGGTAGGGTTATCCGTAAGCCATCCCTTGTGAAAAAGAATTCATAATGGTGCAGGGGTTCTGACCCCGATAGAGAAATGAGAAGCCAGCGTGCCGCTGAGGAGTTTGGGTGGTTCTGGATGGTAAATGGGGGGCAGTGAGGCGGCAGCTGCCCAGGAGAACACCTGGGGAAGAGCAGACCCGTGGTGAAGGTGCTGTCCGACGTGCCCGCTCTTGTACTTGAGCGATGCGGCCTTCGCTGGGGTGCGCGCGCCTGGAGCTGTTGCACACCTTGCTTTATCAGGCCTGCAGTAACAGACATCTTGATGCTGAGCAGCACGGGAACAACTTCAGTTACTGTCTAGTAACTGAAACTCTAGGGAAGTCTGCCTTTTGCTTCCCAGTAGGATCTACTGACCCTTACTTCATCATACCCTTGTTGGATTTCTAATGTTTTGTAACTTTGTATATTTGCAATAAATAGGGTTATAGAATAATAAGGATGCTTTATTGTAGAAACTGTAGTGCATCACAGACTCTGTATGTTTCCTTGTGACTGTATTTCTCCAAAATCTTTTGGGACTAGAATTCAACTCTTGCAGACTTAATCCACATGCTTTCTTATATATTTTTTAAGTTAAAAATATATTTTTGTAAAATATTTTAATTGTAAATAGCTTTAAGTGTTACAGACAAAAGGTGACTTTTAAAATAATTGTTTTATTTTGAAAATAAAGTAAAAATATTTTGCTGTGTTGATGACTCTTACAGTTCAATTCTTTAAGATGTGACAAGAATGTTATTACAAGTCTGACAAAACCTGGGCTGCCCTTAGCCTTCATGACCTTCAGGAGTTATGCTGCAAATCCTGCTTTCTAAGAACGGGGCATTTCTGTTGCTTTTCCTCTCGGAATGCCAACAAAGCCGCAGTCACCACAGCCTCATGATCTCATGGCTCTTCTCTTGCTCTCCGTTAGCTGGGATGAGACAAAGGTCTCCTCTGTGCTATTATAAAAATCAGAGATGTTCTGTCACAATTTAGCTCTGTAGCTGTTTTTTTTTTCTGGAAGAAAGATGACTTGTAGGCACGGGGAGGCAGGTAACACTGCTCTGCTTCTACTGTGGAAGGAGGGTCTCAGGAAACCGGCTGTCCCAGCACCGAGAGCCTTCTCTGACACTTCGTGAGCACCTCATCACCAACCTTACACTCATTCACATGATTTGGCTTAAACAAACTGGCTCCGTTCTTCAAAACAGATTCCAGAGCATTTGTATTTGCTGCTCTGGTGGCAATTAGTATCAGAAACAACTTTTTTTTTAATGGCAAAACTAAACAGCACCGACTCCGAGAGCGCAGGGCTGGCTCAGACATGCCCACTTCCCTGCTACGGCCCATTTCTGAAGTTACGAGTCCGGCAGTTCTACAACTGGCCACTACCTACTTTGTAAAGAGAGAAGTAACGGAAGTATTTGGAAATGACAACACAACTCGCTTAAGTGGGTGATTAACAAGAGGGGCTAACAAACTCCTCTTGTTAACTGTAATTTAAAATAGGAGGCTTCTCATTCCTGGAGAAGAGGTGAAGAGAGCATTACGCTCTCCAGGAAAAGGAGGGGCTGGTTTCACAAACAGAAACTCAACCCCAACAGTCTGTACACTTTGAAATTTTCTGGAAAGGTTCGCTTTATTGTGTATGTATATATACAAAACTTGACAAGTGATAATCCATACAGTAAATTCAAAGTAAATAGTAATTTTCTCAGTAATTCCTAGACTGCAAACCCCATCATTATTTTTTAAGCTCTTCACTCACTTCTTTCCAAATCTTCTCCTCTATTTTTGAAGTATCGTATTCTCGCAGCATATCAAACTCTAGCCATGGCTGGCTCCACTTTTGTGCTTCTTTCATTTTTTTTTCAGGTAGCTCAAACTTTATTCCTTTTATATTGTATTTTGGCCTTTCCCACCGTTTTGACCATGGTTTAGGTTTCATTCGTACCTGCAGCTAGGGTGAAAGATAAAAAAAAAAAAAAATCAAAAGGTATTAAGTCATCAGAGTTTTGGTTGTGAGCTCAGCGAAAGGTGAGACAACTGCTGCTCTGACAGAAGGGAAGTAAGAGAAAACTGAGCAATCTCTCAGTATGTTAAGGAACTACTACTTCACACTGTTAGGAGAAAAGGAATTTTTTGTCTCCACGTGACTGTTGCCATAGTATCTTGTAAAACTTTTTAATTAACAGTCTTGATTTATTACACGGTCCTTAAATTGACACACAAAGGGAAGTTAACTCATCTTTTGTAGTCCTACTCCTGCTCCTTATTAAGGAAAAAGAAAAGCAGCATGATCAGGGAAGGGAAGAATGATCGCTGTATCCTCCCGAGTTGCTAGGCAGCGCTCCCTGACAAGGGTCTGCTGGTTTCTGGATCTTCGGGATGCAGATTTCCACTGACTCTTCCCTGACACCCACCACTCCCCGCGCAGTACCAACACTAACGGGAACGTTTCTGTAAGAGCAGCTTTCCTCTCAGCACAGTGTTACACAGAGCCACGTGGAGGCCGCTACTCCTTGCGTGTCTTCAGAATTAACTACTGAGGATGGCAGGTATTTACATTCTCAACATTCTTTTGCTATAGAACTGGCATAAAAACTTGCTGTATTTGTATACTTTTGTCACCCCGGTAACTAATGCGAGGCTGTTTAATGGCCTTCCAGGCTATCAGTCAGGTCTGAAAGTGACCTAAATTATCACAGAATCCTAGAATGCTTTGGGATGGAAGGGACCTCTAAAGGTCATCCAGTCCATCCCCCCTGCAAAGGGCAGGGACATCTACAACCAAATCAGGTTGCTCAGAGCCCCATCCAGCCTGGCCTTGAATGTTTCCAAGGATGGGGCATCTACCACCTCTCTGGGCAACCCGTTCCAGTGTTTCACCACCCTCATCGGGACAAATTTCTTCCTTATATCCAGTCTGAATCTCCCCTCTTTTAGTTTAAAACCATTACCCCTTGTCCTATCGCTTCAGGCCCTGCTAAAAAGTCTGTCCCCATCTTTCTTATAAGCCCCCTTTAAGTATTGAAAGGCCGCAATAAGATCTCCCTGCAGCCTTCTCTTCTCCAGGCTGAACAACCCCAGCTCTTTCAGCCTTTCCTCATAGCAGAGGTGTTCCAGCCCTCTGATCATTTTCGTGGCCCTGTCCTCTGCTTTCCCTCTGAAACAGGTGGCTCCTACCTTGTTTACAGGAATTTCCTCATGGTCTAAACGAGACACAGGTTTCATGTTCATATCAAAAGTACTATATTCAGGGAGGGCATCTCGCAGGTACATCAGGTTGTCATCCAGCCTCTTCTCTAGCTTCAGAACCTCGATCGCTTGGATTCGAGGATTGTATAGTTCATAACATATTTCAACACCTTAGAGAGATAAAGTCTGGTTTAACGAACGAAATTCTTTAGAAATACTAACACCAAATTAGTGTTTCTTCAGTGTTACACATTCCTGTATTACTCAAGAACTGCCTTTTCCTTATCAGAGCACTACAACATACAGCGCTGTGTGCACATGTGATTGTACACGTGCATTATGTCCACACAGGGAAATGCAGATTTGTTCTGCAAGTCACGTATTTAATAACAAAATGGCTTAAGAGACGTTGAATGGCTTGCATTTAAGGAAGACGAGTTTGGGTTTTAAACTTTACTCCCTTCTGGTTACAATGGCTTTTACTATCCATCTCATTGTATGTGTAGTGTATACAGAGACACCCACCCCTTCCGTATTTGCTCTCAGAACATCAGTATTTGCATCTCCCCCCATTTTGTCATGAAACAGAATATGAACCGATTGTAAAACTCTGCTAACCTGTTGCTTGTTAAACAGTTCACGCGTATGGCCCCAGTTCATGCAAATACACAGGGCTCAAGCGGGGCCAGTATTTACACGGCTAGCAGTAGCCTGCCCAGGCTCAAATACAAGCACAACCACAGTGGACCACATTCAGTCTCCTCAGAATACAGATCTAAAAATCACTAAGTATATAGACAAAAAATTACGAAGCGGTTGCCTGCCTTCAAATACACAGCACATCAACACCTCTGCATATACACTTTCATACCTGCAGTATCCCCTAGTAGGTAGACTCACGATTTCACTTTAATCTCTTGCCATCCTCTCCGCAGACTAAACTTCTTCACCAGATATCCCTTCACATACAACTTCAACATTTTTTGCTTACCATTTCCAGCATAATTACCACAGTTAAAAACCCACCTTGGTCTTCTATGACGTTCCGAAGGACAAAGGTAGCGCCAAGTCCTTTTCCTCCTCTTTGAACGCAGATGCCTACAAACCGGTTGACTTTCTCATTGGCGTACGGATCTGCAGTCGTCACGGCGAGTACGCTGCCTGCCAAAAAAAAAAAAAAAAAAAAAAAAAATGTTCAAGGAAACAGGAAGAGTCACAAAGTGCACATATTTAGGTACATTTTGAAAATGTTTTATGTTCCATTAAAAACTGCCAGAAAGCGAAGAAACTTCTAACGCCCTGAATTACTGTACGTTAAAGTGATTCTGCAGGTTAACTATGAAGCCTCTTCAACTTTCA